ATGGAAACCTTTTTTTTTCAGATATGTTAAAGAATGTTTTATATATCGAGTCGTAAAGCAGAGTTCAATAGTTGCAACATAGTTTCGTGTACAGTGAGAGCTCCAAAACTACGACTTTTGAGGACAGTCGGAAAAAATAGGTGTTTGCTAGCCAGCTCTTCCTTCTACGGTATATGGGCGAGTGAAGATCACGGGCTTGTTGACGATTGTATGAGAAGGTAAAACATTGTGCTCATTCTACATATACACGGACATTACCCGACTCTGGATTATGCTTCACACTTACAATTATTACACAGGGCGATATATTGCGCCTCTCAAAATCAGCTAGGTTACGATTTAAAATACTTTTCACTGGCAATCATGGCAGGAGTTAACAGCAAACTGCCCGGGCTAATTGTTCGACGACAATCGGTTGTAAAGGACAACAGTATACGTAGCAGCATTGTTGTTATTGGGAACAATAACGATCATTACCTGGTCTCAGGACAACGAAAACTCGACAGGGACATCTATAAAGAAAATGATAGTCTTCGATTAGCGCCGATCTGCGCATGTCCATGCAACCTGCCCATCTGTAAAGAGAGACGTGCGGTACAATCTTCTGAGAGATACATACAGGAAGATGGTTATGAGTGTCTAACACCAGAAGGTTATTGTAACATGTGCCTTTCCAGTGCTGACCAGAGATACGTTGAGCTGAAATACAAGACACCTGAGAAAAGAATGCGTACGTTCAGAAGCGATGAGCGTTGCAATGATGACAGTTTCAGCCGGAGGTTAGCTAATGCTGGCTTCTACGTAACACCAGTAGTTGACAGTCAAGGTAAGTATAATGTCGATTCTTTCATAGGAAAAACATATGTATGCTTCTGTTTTAATATGTTTATATTTGTGTACAAAAATTGTACAGAATATGTTATGATAACGTATTGAATCTTTCTTCTAGAAGAACCCATTATATTCATGTATGTAATTAAATGATCATTCACTGCAGAAAATTATTTAAGAATGATTTCTACACCAGGAACATATATTGTAGGTAGAAAGCTCCTGACACGATTTTAAGACAATCGTTTCCATCCATATGGATTGCACCATGTTTTCACTGAATCTCCATTTCTGTATCTTTGAAATGTATTATATTTCATTGCAGGTCATCCTGTCAGTCTATCATGCTTTCAATGTCCTATTAGACGGAGGATGCTGGACAAGAAAAGTGATCCGTTCCGTGAACATGCGCGATGGTTTCCTACTTGCGCTTATGTCATCCACCAAAAGGGAACGGAATTCATTCACAGTGTCCTACAGGTAACATAGACGAACGTGTATAGAGTTGTCACTGATAAATTTTTAACTGTTGTTCTTAGCAATTCGACTTTTGTGAAAATGTGTGTTGTTTTTTTTTTACTTGTTGATTTATTGATGATAGATGCGTCATTGAATCATTTTTAATATAACACATGTATCCTGGAAAAGGTTAGGTTTTACATTAAAATTTCACCTTGGCCAGTCACATGTCCCATCTAATATGCCATTCCGGGGAAACATGATTAGAACCGGGAAAACATGTTTTTCCAATGCAAGAGCAAAAAAATGTATTTTATAGCTGGCCTATTCAGCAAAGACAGAATAGCATCATTTGGAAACAGCTGTAAAAGAGACGGGTTTCTTTGTATTAAGTCATTCAAGTGTACCGATATTCTTAGAAATACAGGAAACGCATATAAGTTGACTTCACATCTCAGGAATAATAGTACATTATTCTTCAAAATATTGATACATGCATAATGATACTCGTTTCTTGCGCTGCCTGGCTAAGCGTTATCAACGTTCAAAGTATTACCAAACATTCCCTTGGCAATCTTGATATATATGAACAAACCCCAGTATGACGCGAACATGTAGCTGGACAGATTACTATCAAATAAAATAGTGAGAGGGTATGAATTAAATACATGACGCCTGTAATAAAAAATGATATGACATATGATAATAATGCATTGTATATATTGTTCTCATTGTAGGATACAAGAAAGATACAGCAGGAACACGATGGTAAATAATTTATTCATTATACTCTTACTTGTTCCTATTTCAGAACATGTTTATGAAAGGAGCGTCATAAAATTATCATAACTGCTACTTTTTATATATAATCGATAGAAATACAAGCATTTTGACTTTCTTGAGAGAGAACGATACAACATTGTTCATAGCGGCACCAAACTGGGTGAAATAGACCATTAATATTTTTATAGGTATTATTTCAGTTAATTCAGCATAGCATTGAAGATTCTGTATTTATATTTCATTATCCCACTCTATACAATTTCTTGTCATCGTGTTATCCCATTTTATCTTCAGGGTTCCTTCTAATAACCCCTGCACTTTATCATCCCTTTACATTATTTAGTATATCGCCATTGTCTCATTTTAACAACAACGTACATGTGCATCACCTGTGTTACATTTTTAAATCCCATTGTATCACCAGTGCTACATTTTATGAAATAAAATTGATGGAATTTGAGAGAAACAATCACAACACAATTCTTCTCAGATTACAGTACCACTGTTACATAGGTAACTTCTCTTATTATACATTGTGATTACTTAATTGATTGTAAATGTAAAAAAACTTGAAAACTATAATTAGTTACTTTTTCATATTCCTTACAATAAGAGAATACCGCAGCGCCAACAAAACCGTAGTTCGAACTCAAAATCGATATAACTAGGGCAAAACATGAACAACGGAAAGATTTCAGGGATATAGGGGGACCCTTGAAAAGGTACATGGAGAATAAGACCGGATGCTCCGAAAGGGAAGGCTTCTTCTGCTTCATCTTAGTCAATTCCAAGTAATGCCATGTCCTGCCATCGCGAGCTCGGGTAGTGACAATAAATAACACAACGCCTTCTAATGAGCATAATGAAGAGAGTATCGACCTTCAGATCACACAAAGCATGTTTCTCAGCGAGATCATGACGGCGGCCATAAAACGTGACTATAATCTTCATCAGCCAGCATATCAAAAATCCCTCTGTTAAAAGTTGTCCGTCAGCAGTCGAAAATCGTGATACTCGGAGCAAGCTCTTGAGTTCCGAATCAATTGCGACATGTAAACACCGTATGCTTGGGGAGCAGGGATGTTGATATCAAGAAAGGGAAAGTTCACGATCAGAAAGTCGAAATTATTAAGCAAACAAATGTTAACATGTAAGTAGTGAGGTATTTGTAAAGATCATTAAATGAAAGTCATTTTGCTATTTTTCATAAATGTAGATCAAACGGTTTAAGAAGGAAAGATTATTTTCGTTTATTCATTTCAGAGAGGGGGAATTCCAGCCAAATGACGGTGGCTCGTAGAGGAGACCTGGATTGAATTTGAGGCTGTTAATAACTGAAACCCGGTAAATATACAGAAACTGTGGTCTGTATTCAGGCAGCTGTTAGTTTCGTATCATTCTTTATGTAGAGATAAACACAGGTATGAATATTTAATTAACAAAACAACGTGCGCCATGAGGGATCTTGTGTCAACATTTTTTTAAATGGCCGCTTCGCCTCTCTGAAATGAAAATAAACAATTTAAGTAAAAGTGAAAAAAATTGAACCTAGAAATATTGGCGTTGTGACTCTTCACTGATCGCTGTGTGTAAATGTTTGATTCGTCAATGGTTCTGAAATCAATATATTCTATATCTATACGTATACTCTATAGATGATTCTGTGTGGATATTTTAGCTGTAATTATTTTCAACACGAACAACGCGAGCATTTCCACACCACGATAGTTTCTTCACCGCGATGAGTTCCACTTTAACGGTAAATGTTAGTAACGTTAGTGTTTACAACACGGTATACAATGGTACTCTGGGACGACATCATCCTGTCATTTACTAGTAGAACCGTACTTCAGAGAGAAAACTGAACAAAAAACTGACTTCGGCAATACAACTTTGCTCATACATTTAGAGGGTTAGTATAAAGTTGTACCTCAGATATTACATTTTGTAAAATTGCGTCAAATATGCTGGAATATTGGCCTTATTAGTATTGCTTACCTCAGTATACATATAAGTCCAGAAGTAGATTTAGGTCAACATTATGAGAAAAAGGTACAAATAGATCTTATATACCTGGAGTAGAGTTAGGTAATGAGGGTGCTATATAGAATATTCACGCATCATGTTAAGATCATAGCTAATTGATTAACGTCAAATCACTATAGCGCGTGTTGGGTAATAACTACTATAAATACAAGATAATTGCCATCAAATTATATTCCATGCCCCTAGGGACAATTTTGACTGTACAGTATGTTCCTTATTACGCGACGAACGTTTGTACCTTCAAAATCACAACATATGGGATTATATTACTTGCCTGGTTTATGTGTTCTTTGTTTTTCTTATTGAATAATTAAATATTGCTCTTATGCATATCAGTTGCGTCTGTCAGCATTATAACAAGGGTTGACGTTAGTTAGTATTTTCTCTGGATCATAACTTAATGGCAACTTAACAACTTAACAAGCCCTGTTTGTTTTTGTATCATAATTATACAGTATATTTACTATGTGATACACACTTCCCAACCTGACGACGTATATAACGCCATTTCTTGTGGACTATTACATCCCTATATATCGCACAGGTGGATGTGTATATATCTCTAGCCAGAGTTGTCGTTCCTAACACTTAATGTAAGTGAATACAAGGAATGACAACTTTGGAAAGAGATTGATGGATGTGTATATCGACCTCAGTTATAAATAGATAGTAATATTTGTATTACATAGTTAACAGCTGTTTTCGCAACACTCAGTTTTGCTTCCCAAAAACATAAACCGGGGAACAATGGCGGACAACATGTTTAGAGTAGATTAAGTATGTCACATTACTATAGTGTGAAGTGTTGCTAAAATGCTAGGAATTTATTTTTATATTAATTCGTTAAGTTGACCAGTTAACGGCCAATGTGTGTTCCAGCCAAAACAACTTCTTTGTATAACAAACGATCTTGTCAAATAGCGAAAACTGTTGTATAACCCCAAAATAGTAATAATATTAAGATTCACCATGTTTACACTGTATCAAAGTACTAGATGTGTTTCCACGCAAGGCAGTTATCGTTTAATTATGCATATACTACTAAAAGCTGAAATACGAAAACAAGAACATTTATAATATGGGTTTTTTTTTGTTACTTTCAGGTTTATGATTAGTGGAGACGTGAGGCGAGTGGACCATGGACTACATCAAGTCCCTATTCTTTAACATTGTATTGTACTACATAGTAATCATATCATCAATATTTACGCTAAAATGTATCATTTAACATTTAAAAGCATGCAGAAAATTATGATGCACGTAATGTAATCATTATAGAAAAGGGAGAAGGTATTTCTATACATGTTTAACTAACAAACATATGTATATCTATAGGCTTGTGTACATTTTGGGACTCACCTGTGGTACTTCAGGCAAAAAATAAGATGAAAATTCATATCTAAAACTGTTTCAAAAACTACGGATTTCACCCCTGCAGATTCGGGAATGCCTATTCCGTCTTTACGTACTGCAGAGTTATCTTCTCTTGTGAGCAGGTATTGATTGTTA